TGATATTTTTAGGAACTGGGTATTCTAATACAGCTTGAATATGTTCTTTGCAAGGAGAAACCCCATTCAAATCAACCGAATATCCTAAATAAGTGATAGAATACATTAAAAAGACACATTTATCCAGTCTTAATTCAAGCAGGTTATTTCCTAGTAGCGTTAACACTTCTTTTAAAATACTTAAGTTTTCGGCAATCGTTTCCGTCGCTATTAAGATGTCATCCAAAAATATGCACACCTTATTGTCTAAAATCAACTTCTTAAATATCTGATTTATACACCTCATAAACATTGATGGGCTGTTGCACCATCCAAATGGCATATACAAATATTCATACTGGCCTAAAGGACTAATAAACGACATATACTTAGTCGATGCCTCAGATAATTTAATCTGGTGAAAAGCACTTCGCAAATCTAACTTGGTGTAATATTTTTTTCCTTTCAATTTGTCAAGTTGATCATTTATCAAGGGTAATGGAAATCTATCTCTTTCACAGATTTTGTTGAGTTGCCTAAAATCCACACATAATCTAAAATCTCCCGTTTTCTTTTTGACTAATATAATAGGTGAAGCATACGGCGAAGAACTTTCCTTAATAATACCTTGATCAAGTAGGGAATCAATTAGCTTTTGTAGTTCTCTCAATTCAAACTGAGAGAGTCTTCGAGGTTGGTAATTGAAGGGCTTGTGGTCAGAAACCACCTTGACTTCGACTTCAAACTCAGTATCTGGTTTGGTAGGTTTAGTACTGCATGCATATTCATCTACTAAGTCCTTAACAGCTAAAACAGTGGTGTGATCTAAGTCTTGATTAATTAACAAATTTGTTTCTGATTTCGTTGCATTGCAATCGATCAACATTAAGGTATTAAATTCATTAGACACTTGAGATCCTGTTTGACAAATTTTTAGACCGTTATCGAAAGTAATTCGAACTTTATCTGAATGAATAAAGTCCCTACCTAAAAGAACGTCTGGGTGCATAGTATTATCAGGTACGACATGTAATAATAGTTCTACCGGTATTTCCTCTACTTTACACAATGTTTTGTATACACCTAGCACTGTTAACTTTGACAAATTTATCCCTGTAAAATCCTTAACAACATATTGTTCGTTAAAATTGCATGGTGGTACTAAACTAGACTTAATTAAGGAAATGGGACTCCCACTATCAAACATAGCCCTTAATTGTAACGAGTTCACTTGACGATGCTCATTCATTATATTTATGCACATAACAGCCATATCAGGTGGAATTAAATTATTTGGTGTATGAATAACATGGGTACCACTAGTACCTGGCACTCCAACTAGTGACTTACGTTTTAATGGACAGTCTTTAACCATATGACCTGCCTTACCACATTCATAACAGGTTCCGCGCTCCCTCTTTGGTTTTGGACACCTAGCTGCAATATGGTCCAATCCATTGCAGTTAAAGCACTTCCGTACCTGGTTCGATGTACTTGCAGCTACCTTAAAAGGACGAGATGGTATTCGGGTCGATAATTTGTGGCCTGAAAGAGAAGCACTGGTCTTCATGCCCTTTACTTTCTCATAAACTTCCAGTTTCGCCTTTAGCTGCTTATATGTCCTGGCTTCATATAAAAACAGCTTTTGCTCCGAGTCATCTGGGATTCCATCTACTACATACTGAACTACCGCTTCCTCTTCAATAGCACCTCTCGCCGCCAACTCCTTCATCTTGAGCAAGTACTCTTGAAGATTTTCGCCCTTCTCTAGCTTTCGATTTCTCAATGCCTGGTGTAGTTGAGCACTATTTACTTTAGATGAAAATTCATCAAGGAGACAACGCTTCAATTGTTTCCAGGTGGTAATGCCTCTAACGCCCTGAATAAAAAGTTTCGCCAAACCACTTAGCGACTTCTTTGCAAAAACCAGCCGCTGCAAATCCGACCATCCCATTAATGTAGCTATATCTTCGAAGTCAGATACCCAGGTCTCTATTGGGTAGCTCCTGTCACCAGTGAAGGTCCGTAGTGAGTCTTCGAGATCTCTAAAGGTCATCATGAATTTCGGGGTATCTCTGCTTACTGCGGCATGACCTTGATTACTCAAAGCTTGACTCCGTACATCTTCCTCTTCATCCGATTCGTCTTGATCACTTTCTTCTTCCTGAACGTTTTCGTGGACCAGATTATCCAAATGTAATAAACTGCGACACACCCGTTGGACTAAAGCAGCTTGATCTCCAGCATAACTGATGCGTAAAATGTTGCAAGTGGAAATTAAATCAGCAACGCTTAAATTTTCGTTCACATAAGCAATTTTATTTCTAAATTCCTCTGAATTTTCGTCAAATCCAAACCCAGAAAATTCCCGTAATCGTCTGCGGTTGCGCCTCCCAGCATCTTCTTCAAAAATAATCCGGTGCAACGCCCTTACGGCACTCACCGACGCTGATTTGATGTTGTCACTAATATCCGCAATTTCCCCAAGCGTGGCCATGTCAGAATTATCAGAAATTCATAAACACCAAGTTCCAACGTAATAAAACAATGACCACTTAACGGACTTTCGCAGATTCTTGTAAAATTACCATAAAATCTGAGCTGTGCACATAACCCCACACCTGAAGTTGTAGGAATATCCGGTATGGTTCGGGAAAATTCTTCTTAACTAACGAATAATGCACTCATAACGTATAATGTGCAATATATTAAAAAAAAAACTAACAAAACTGCTTAAACGGTTAGCCACATGAAAACGTTGCGCGTCGCTTGGTCTTTTTCGAGCGAATGGTGTCTTCCGATTTTTTCGGTTGGCAGAACCGTTACACCAACTAGCGGGAATTTTAAATTCTACTCTTACAGTTGGTATCATTATTGGCCTTACCAGTCCAAAAAAGCATGTTCAAGAAACTAGATACTTTTATCAAATAAATACTCCTTAAAATATGCAACATATTATTCCCGAAAATTTGAGTATATATAGTATTGTTATTGTTAGTGTTACATTGCATCTATTTCAATAGATATACGTGTCCTTGCTAAAATGTTGATGATGTCATCACAAAATTTTGTAACTGAAAAACTCACTTGAAACACATATACAGCATGCTTCTTTATCTATACTTGACAGTTCACACATATTTATATTTATAACGTATAGAACAAAAAAATAAAATTCGAAAAATTATATTTTTTGATTCGTCTACACTTCAGGGACGATAGAAGTGTACATAACTTTAGTTCTACTTGTATGATCCTACTGTCAATTTTTTATTTATAAAGAATTCGAGAATATTTTTCCAACCAATGATGATTGAAACGAAGGATTTTGTAAGTTATATTTGAATGTTTTTTTTTTACTTTTTCAATTTAATAAACTTTTTATTTTCACTGAGATAACGTTCATACTGTTATTCTTTAGCAAAGACATTGTTAAGAAAAATAGGTAAAACATTTGGGTAAATCAGGTCTTCCAGAGATCTCACGGAATCAAAGTTTTCAAACTTAAAAAACACCATAGATTTTAAGTCAATTTTTATTGAAAATATGTAGCCATGTTTAGACTACTGGGTTTTGTCTTCCAGTACGATTCCGAAATATCCACTGTAGTTGGAAGGCATTGAAATTTCCCATCTTCCTTGGTAACGTTCTTCAATCATTGCAATATTTGGATAGGAAAGATCTGCATCCTAACAATACCCCTATTTTCTGGAAACAACTTAGTGGAAATGTAATAAATGTATCTTAAGCGAATTAAAATAGCCAATAACATTTTAAATAAACAATGAATTTTTTCCGATTTCGCTGTCAACTGACTGATTTCATGGTTTTAGAGCCAATTTATAGAAGCTCAATTAAATTTTTAATGCGGTAATAAACTACCACGTGACAGACTCTAAGCCAGCCAGATGTAGTTAAACGCTAAATATGAAACTTTTCCTGAAAGGTGGATAGGACGAAGGGGCAGTTGAATGGCCAGCTAACCTCACTTGACTTTGTTTATGAGGTTATGTAAAAAATCGAGTTTATGTTAATAGACCACAAAGCATGGAAGAACTCCAAGAAAGAATATTAAATGTGATTGCCGATATTCCTCCTAATATTCTAACAGATTATTTGAAAACTTTATGTAACGTATTTACTATTGCCAAGAAGTAAATGGAGAACATTTCTAACATCTGTTGTAAAATTATTGTTTTTCAAATGTTAATTTGATTTTCTTCTCAATCATGCAATTTTTTATTTAAATTTTTCAAAAAATCATTAAATCGAAGTATCGTTATTTCTAGAATATTTTGTAAATTATTTGAAAACACTTATTATTTCAGTTTATGTACCCTCAGCTCTATCATTTTTACAATGACTGGGCACTAGTAGTTATAATTTTTGAATAAGGTGTCCTACGCCAGAACTAATGACAGGTGACAATATTGTCAAGGCTAGCAACGATTTTCTGATTTTCAGTATTTTTATTTTGACAATTTATTTTACCATGTTGGGAAAAAATAAAATGCACTATTTAAAAACGGAACATTTGACTACTCGTGCTATTTAAAAAAAAACAAGTTAGCCCTGCATCGCAAAAACAAATGAAGTATGAAATTTGGAAAAATTGTAGAAAATAGAACTTAGTATTCCTAGAGACAGCCCAAATTTCAAAAAGATTCAACAAACTATTCTTGCGATATTCAACTGCTTCCATACTTACTAGCTACCCTGTATAACAGAAATGGGATGAAAGATCTCACTAAAAATCAAATGACTGTGCTCAGGAGACCTCAAAACGTAAAGATCAGCCTCATTACCCAAACTAAAAATAAATTTTAGACCCAAACTCCCTCTACCACAACCCATTTCTCTGTTCTTCGGAAAGCAGATTCTAAAAAAAATAAACACCTCACCTTGACCCAGAACGTCGGGTAAATTACGGCACTTATGTAAATTTTCGTCGCAGCTATTAGCCCATGCTCGTTGATCCCTAATAATGAATTACCCTTAATAATCGTTGGTTGCTGTTCCAGCAAGCATACCGGCGGTGGGTGTGCAGTTCTCTGGTGCCTCATTTCACACGCGCAGGCGAGCGCGTGCGGCCGTGTCTCAGTGTGTGCCAGGACGTGGAGCAGCAGTGCCCATACCTGTTACCGGGGGACTGGACGAACCAAACCGTTCCGCCAGGGGAGACGGCTCACCCCACGCCACAGTACGCCGGGGAACCCACCTTCCTCTGTCTCGGTACGTATCGTAAAAAACACGCAATAAATTCAACATTTTTATTGTTTGTGGTACGATTGCGCCTCTGATATTGCGTTAGAACAAAGTTGTATTACCAAATGGGTAAACTACTTGGGGGCGTACGTATGTACACAACACTGTTTCTTTTTTGTTATTACTAAATAAACTTACGGAGGTTATTCAGAAAAGACCGGGACTGATGCCTCTCGGACTTGTAGATAGAAACTGCGAAAGTTTCGTAACTTAACGTTACGAAGCGACTAATATTTCGCCGTTTTCTTCATCCCTTAAATTCGCTTTGTTGGAATTAAAACAGGCAAAAGAAAGGTTTGCAATAATAAGATAAATATTCAGTGAATCCTGTTTTACCGTATTCGCATGTTTTCGTTGATCAGAATATAAAGGCACTCCTGTTGCAATTCAAAAAAGAAATAGCATATAAATGGTTATTTATTATTGTTGACACAGATTCACTTTTGCACGTGTGTTGCTTATTGTTCTTCGTTAGACAGCAGTAAGATCTACACACACTCTATTATATTACCATAAAGATAATAATAATGAACTTTATTAGGCAAAACCTCCAGTGAATCTATTATACAATATATTCACACTGCATTATTGTTACAATTTAATTGTACGTAGAGATACTGTAAAGTTGTTGTTTTCACTTCGTAACATCCTCGCCAATGCGGCATTTGGTGCTAAAAACCGGATTACTTCGTAACAATCTTGCGGGGCAATTAATACAAAATAAACTTAACAGTTCTGAGCAGTTTATACTACTATTTTATGTACACAAAATACTTCTAATTTGTTAGTCGGTATATTCATCATTGTTAGAACACATTTCCAAGCACAGCAACACAGAAATTTATTTTGAACTTTTTCAGTCGTTCTGATATAATTATCTAATTAACAAATTTTGATGTCTATACTATACTTGTATATTCAAGAATAGAATGCATTGCACAGGCTGTCCCAGATAAAAATTCTCGGCCTTAGGTCTTGAAATTCTATAAACGCCATTGATTTTAGCTTAAACGGGAAGTTTAATTTGGTACGTCGCAAATATGACATAAATAAACCCCAATATTTTTGTTGCAACGGATATAAATTTCTAACGTATTTTGATAGATAACGCACTTACGATTACAATTATATAAAATACTTTTGTATTTATTTCCTTTTCAGACTATAAAAAAAATAAAACTTATGAATATAAATAAATTGAAATTGAATTATTTTCTAAACGGTTAGGAAGATCTGTTTCAACAGCAGTCATATCAGCATATAGTCTTTGCCATTTATATTGAAACACCACTTGTTAATCGTAAATTTGGCAACGTTCATATTCAGACTATTTTCTAACTAAAAGCCGTTGTCAATCAACCGAAAGGTGTCACCAATTGCTAAATTTTAAGCAAAATCAACAGGTGGTGTTTCAATAGAAATGGCAAAGACAATATGATCGCACTGTCGCCCTTCACACTGAACAAAAGTTATAGACACAAATATCCCTAATTTAATTTTTTTAATTTTGTAATTTACGCGAGAATCGCAAATATAGTAGACAAAATCTTTTATGTATCAACACAAAAATAAATCTAATGGCCTTAGATCTGAGCTGCGAGCTGGCCATGAAATAGGACCCCCAATTGTCAGCCAATTTTCGTAATTAATGTTTCCAGAATTAAAAAATTCAACCATTTTCGACATCTAGAATTTTCCTTTTAAGGTAAAGGAGCTAAAGCTCACAAATTTTTAAATCATTCTTTTCTGAAAGATCTTCAGTCTCTCATTTGGCAACATAATTCTCGAGATCTATCTTTTACTTTAGATACACTATATTACCAGATGTAAGAGGAAAGTTGTAATTTGAGAGAGGGAGAACTATTTTGCCCAAAATTTTAAAGTCCACTAGTTATAGATATCTCTTACTTAATGGTAGAAAAATTCTACGCGAACAAAAACATGTTATGGCATCAGAATTCTAACGAAATAGTTATTTACTTTACCGCCGAAAGTAGCATGCTACTCGCCTTTGGCGTGAGTAATGTACATAATTTTTTGTACTTCTTTTCTAAAATTAATTTTTTTAAGAAATAATAATTTTAATTCAGTGGTGCTAATCCTAAATTCATTAGGTAAATATACCCCAAATATTACAATCAAAAGTCGCACAAAAATGCATTTTTTACCATTTTAACTGAAATTGCCGAGCTATAACATTAGGACAATATTTTTTTTTATATATCAGTCATTAATTTTGAACGTTAATGAATTTTATAATTGCAGTTTGTCCTTTGAGGCTCTAGGTCTTGCAAGAAAAATTGCGACTCGCTAATGTCATATACTGTTTGTCATTTTCAGATATGGCAGTACAAAATAGTATATTGTTTTATTGGGAGCAAAAGAGTTAGTTTTCGTGGTGAGTCCTGTCAGTTTGACAGCATTACAGACGAGGCACGAAAAGACACTTTTGCTCCTAATAAAACTATTACCATAAACATATAAATGAACAATCTCCGAGGAGAAATAAGGGGCAATTCTGAATCAAACTTGTTAAATTTAAAGGGTGTTAAATTGCAAATTTTCAAAGTAACGAGTTAAATTCGTAAATATGATTGGCTGTTTATTTTTTAACAACCTTTAAATTTTAACAGGTTTGATTCAGAATAAAGTTGTCAATTTATGGTCGGAATCACTTTTGAAACGCACGCCCGAAATGTGACAAAATTATTGTAAACACTGCGAACAATTACTTTATATCTGAAAAAACATATTAGTAATTTTTCGGTGTTTAATGTTCCTCTACACGATATTTCGGTAGGGGGTTCTGAGTCAGGATCAGATTTTGATTATTCATTTTCAGAAATTCAATACTTTTTAGTAGAATAATCTTTGTGAAATTTGTTATTTCTTTCTTTGGTTGAGATATGTTCTACGAGGACTGCAACATAAATATACACATATATGTTTCACTTCATTTAAGTTTTATATGTGAGTATTGGATCTAATCTATTTAAAAGTAGTGCAATTGTACATCTGTCGCCATGACTTATTATCATTATTATTATTATTATTGTAGATAAGTTGGCTAACAGACCTAGATCCAATTATAAGCCAACATAAAAGAAGCATCTTAAACGTTCCAAGTAGCTAGAAGGATTACTACTGGTTCCTTATTAGAAAGTAATTAAGATGCTCCTTGTTGTTAAGGAGTATTCAAGGCATAGATGAAGCGGAAATGTTTACTAGATATCGTAATTGAGAACCGAGAAGGGATTGCGTGTGTTCGTATAGAAGATGTCAACATCTGTGGCTGAATAAATGTTGACGATTTGATGGAATGGTGACGTTATCAGAATATTTCTTTTCGGTGTATCACAATGCAAAAGACAGTGTTTTCTAGAATTGAAATAATAATTCATATAATATAATAATAATTTATAATATATGTATACAGTTTAAACTAATGCAACACACGCTACGCTATGTATGCGTCACATTTTCAGTGTACTTAATTAAGCTTCCCTTCCAAGCTAAAATCATTGGGGTTTACAGAATTTCAATATTTCTATCCGTTCTCAACATATGTATAAAGCCGCGGAATTATTTTTTCTGGGACGTCCTCTTTAACAATATAATTTACATATTTGGACGCAGAACTGGCTTAATACACGTGTTATAAAACCTTCTTAGTAATTTGTTAAAGATCATTTGGATGTGAGGGACAAAACCAAGTTTTGAATCGAATAATAATTCTAAACACGTATTTCTCACACCACAGATAAATTTACATTATCTATTTTCTAAATGTGCTCAACAAATGAACGGAATTTACCAAATTAATCTCGTACTATTTTTAGAAATCAATGTCGATATACATAGGTATATCATTAGCAAAACACCACTGGGAAGTATTCAAAACATTCGCGAAAAGAAGTAATTCTGAAAATTGAATAATATTAAAAATATCGTTAATAAATAATGAAAATAAATGTGCGTCACAGTGTGAACCTTATGGAACAGTTGAGAATATCGTGACAACTGTTTCTTACAGCTGATAAAACTTTTAATCGACTCCTTAATTTGATAATCACCATACCATAACTGACTCTTTCAAATGTGGGAACTAATTTTGCCGAAATTACATCTCATTCCACACAAGTAGAAGGCTTTAAACTGAGAATACCACGAAATGCTTCATTTTTAATGAAAAAAGATCAAAGTTAAAGTTAGAATATTACTCATTTTTATTTTAGAAAAATCAATGTTTTATTGTGTTAGTTTGCATAATCTGTTTTAAAATAATCATCAAGAGAACAATTATTATATGTTTTCCAAGCTCCTCCTGTGAAAACGTTTTTTCAAAAACAAAATAACTCAAAAAAAAAACATTTTTCATCACTAGCAGAACTAAATAATGCTAGTAGCCTCAGATTGTGATACTTTTTCCACTTACTATTTCTCAAAAGGTATTGCTGATCACTGATCAGTGAATAAATAACGATTAGGATGAGTCTAACTTGGTATAAGTATGTTCGGAGCAGGCTGTGTCATCAGAATAAGAAGTTAACAACTGTCATGTCGTATTTATGATATCAAAAAACAACACTAGGATCCGGTTTATATAAAATACTAGGCAACCTGCATGTTTTAACCAATGACACACTACACACAAAGACAAACTATATTATATGGTTCAAAAAACTCCTGCTCATGGAATACCAGTGTATGTAAAGTATGACAGATATAGAGTGAAAGTGCATGGAAAAGAAACAGGTACTTGCGCACACTAATTACCACCCTAATTCTAATTTTTTTGTCATATGGTATATAGTTATAAGTATTAAATTACAGGTTAATCGGTAATTACTGGGTATTATAACCCAATTTACTCAATTCATGCAAACACAAACACTTCTTCACAAGATACATCAGTTTTAAATTTTTAAATGAGACGCCTATGTTTTGAATCGATTATTTTAATGTTC